TAACACAAAAAAGCACTGCTCTTTGAAATATTAGATTCATCCTCAGTGCAGCTTGCTGAGAAGCCACTGGCAGCTGTCAGTGAAACCAATGGCTAGAAGTACACTGGATTCAGTAGGGCACCGAAGCACAACCATCATCACAGGCCACAGCTAACTGAACCAAAGGATGGACAGAACCAAGACAGGCACCATCATGGGAACAAGCAGCAGGTGCACTCCTGGGCCTTAATTCAGCATGTTACTCATTAAAAGTATGATTTGTACCCTTTCCTAACTTTACTCTCCCAAACAGTCTTATCAAATTCAAAAACCAGATGCCAGGATATCCTTATCATAGACATTATCTCCAAAAGTAAACTAGATAAAACTATCTCACATTATCACAAAAGGACAGAAGATAAAAAAATTCCCAGGTCCTTAACCTGTAACTAATCAAAAGTATGACTTGTATTTTTTTTTTTTTCGGAGTCACTCAGAGACACAAGGCCACTTTGGTTAAAACAAAATAAACCAAAAAACCAAATCACAGTTTCTTTATTTGGACCTCCAGATGCCTAAAGAGTAGCTAAAAACAGGACAAAGCTGGCATCTCTATTTTCATTTTGTATCTGCCTTCTTTTAAACAAATATTTTTTTTTGTCTTTTTCCTTTTTATCGATACCAGGGATCAAACTCACAACTGCCTGCTTGCAAGGCAGGCGCTTATGAAGCTGAGCTAAATCCCCAACCCCTGTATCTGCCTTCTTTATTACCTAAAAACAACTTTTGGATCAGATCCCTGTTCACTTTTCCATGCAAGTATGTTAATCATTTAAAGACCATCAACCTGATAACTAGGAATACATGGTTGATTAGCCTCCATTTACCTATCCTGTCTGGTACCCTTTCTGATTTTCATACTGTTCATGTGGCACATGCTCCTAATCCCAGCCCTTGGAAGCAGGAGAGTTGAAAGTTCAGGCCCAGTCTGAACAACTTGGTGACTTAGATACTGTTTTGAAATTTAACTAAGATCTACGTTTATTCCTTTGTAGTACCATGCGGCACTCTACCCTGAGCTATGCACCCAGCCCTTTTTAGTTTTTATTTTGAGATCTGATCTCACTAAATTGCCCAAGCTGGGCTCCAACCTGGCAACCCTCTTAACTTAGCCCCTCAAGGAGCTGGGATTACAGGCACATAACATCACACATGGCTCCTGTCTTAAAATTTTAAAAAAGGGAGGCTAGGAATATAGCGTACTGTTAAGACCCTAAGTTCAAATCTGCCCCCTCCCCCAAAAGACTGATGAAGCTTGTTTGACGTTGGAGTTCATTTTGTCCTCTGACTTTAGCAGCATATGTAAGTGTGTAGGCTGCTGATACTCATGCTATTTTTGGGCTCACCCACAGTGTGTCTATGGATTTCATTAGTCCTTTCAGTTCACTGGACGATGCTTGCTATGGTTTAGATTTGGAACGCCCCCCTAAAGGCCCAAATGATAACTGTTCATCCCCACTTGGTGCTATAAGGAAGTGGTGGAAATTTTAAGAGACGAGCATGATGAGAGTTTTAGGGCAGCTCTGAAGAGACTTGGGACCCTGGTTACTGCCTGTCTTTCTGCTTCCTGGTCAGAAAGTGAACCGTTGTTCTGCCACGCATCCCCACTATAATGTGCTGTCACAGGCCCAGAGCAACAGGGCCCATCGGTCACAGACCGAAACCTCCACAACTGTGCGCCAAACTTCACTTATAAACTGATCATCCTAGGTACCAGTTATTGAGACAGAAAACTGATGAACACAATGTCTAACATTACCTGAACATTCTTGTAAAAGTATGTCTTTACTTATCTCCTTAGAATCATGTGATCCTATTAATTATTGACAATTACTCATAATTATTTTTTTACTTCACATTCATTAACCAGTCACACTAGTAAATATGGTACCTATTATGTTTATGGTTATCAGGCCACATGGAAACTAGAAAGAGCTTAGGTCTTTCTAAGTGAGTCAGAAATGAGCGTAAACATTAGTTGGGGCACTACTGGTTTGTAGTCTTAGGCAACATATCTAAACTAAGATTCTGTAAATTGAGTGTAATAATACCCAGGATTATCGACATTACTGTGTGCCATTATCATGAAAGTAACATGTGACAGCTTCAAGGTTCTTTTGCCTGGATCAATGCTGAATCTTAGTTTTCCATTCATTGGTAACAGTATCATTTCCATGAAACTCAAGAAGCAGACATCCCTCAGAAATATTTTCTTTTCACAAAACATTTTTATATATTGATTTTATAAAGTGATTTATATATTGGTCAGTTTTTGGTTTTATGAGACTGGGCCTCACATAGTTCAGGATGGCCTTGAACTCACTATAGTCCAGGCTATGAACTCACAGTGATGCTTCCACCTCAGCCTCTCAAGTGCAGGCATTACAGCTGTGCACGACCATACTCACCAAAAAGCACTTACTTTAACTACAAGATGGCCACAATAAGATTGAAGGTTTTTTTTTATCATTATTAACATTTCTGAAAATGTTAGCCTAGAATTTTTTTTAACTACATTTTAAGCCAGGCACGGTGCTACATGTGGGTAACTCCAGCACTCTGGGAGGCTGACACAAGAAGACTGCAAGTGAGCCCAGAGTGGGCAGCTTAGTGGGATCCTGCCTCAAAAATAAAGTTTTTTGTTTTGTGTTTTGAGACAACATCTTACCATGCAGTTTAGGCTGGCCTTGAATTCATGGCAGTACTCCTGCCTCACCTACTTAGAAGCTGGAATTATAGGCATACAACACCATACGTGGCCATAAATACTGTTTTCTACCAGTTAAACTATATGTGAAAACATTAGAGTTAGAACCAAGATTAAAGCACGCTACCTTATATTGTTTATAGGTATTGTTTATATTAATTATGAAATATTACAGCAATTCTAGGATACAGTGTGTTGAACCATGAACTACATGAGACCCTGTCTCAAAACACACATACACACATGGAGAGAGAGAGAGACACAGAAAAGAAAGTATTATTTATACATTTAATTTTTCTTACATTTCCTGAGTATGGGACTAAAAGAAGCCCAAAGCAAGATTCAACAAACAATCTAAAACTAGATGAAATTTATACGTCAGGTAGTACAGAATAAAAAAATATGATATACTTGTTTGTTTACGAAGACATTCTTGGATATAAATATTAAATATTAATAAATGATGTAATTTTCCAAAATGATACAGTATGTTTACAAATCAAGTCTCATCCTGGTGTAGTGGTGCAAGCCTATAATTCCAGCACTCAGGAGGCTGAGGCAGAAGGATTACTGTGCAACAATCCCGTTTTTTTTTTTAAATCGGTACCAGGGTTCGAACTCATGACTCCGCCACTTGCAAGGCAGGTGCTTATGCCGCTGAGCTAAATCCCCAGCCCAGGAGGATTTCTATGAATTAGAGGTCAGTGTGGACTTAAATAGTGAGTTCAAAGCCACCTTGAACTGAATAACAAGGCCCTATCTTAAAACAAACAAAAGAAATCAAATCTAAGCCTTTACTCTAATTGAACATATACAAAAGATTTCTGTTAGAAAACAAACTACATAGCTATTTACCCTATATCTACACAATCTGTGACTTGGTAAGACAATGATGATCCATAGCAAGTGACCGTAACTTTTTAAATTTGTAAAACATACATATTTAAAGTAAAAACTGACTCTGATACTTTTGACTGAATGTGTGTATGTGTGTACACACACACACACACACACACACATATTGCAATATATATATATTTTTGGTCTTAGAACATGATCAAAACCCTAAACTTTCTATTAACCCTAAACAAAGCAGACTTTGTCAACAGAAGTTATTAAGTTCAAGTAGGAAAATTGGGAACTTTCTAGCTCCTCTTGGAACCATCTTTATAGATGTCATATCATTATTTTATTACATGTACTGCAAATTGTCTACGTTTCAGAAAACAGGTACAAAATGTAAATGGAAGAACATAGCTCAAAAGACCTCAAGCACAATGTGTTTTCTCAATCTGTGATACTGTGTACACAGTCCATAATGCAAATGGCCATATGAGAAAGAAGACAAGCTCATTCATTTAAAGTTTGTAAGGATCCAAGGTTGTATGTTGCTCTCTGCTTTATATTCTGTTTACATCTTACACAAAGGCTGTGATTTCCCAGAGAAATAATTACTATATACAAATAAATTCATTGTGATACAGATACTCTCAGTTTTTTCGCTGGATATTAGAACTCAAAATTTTCATTAAAAAGTAGCAAAGCCTATGTGTTGCCCTTCAAAGATAGAAATAATACACTAATATATATTATTAATCTATGTGTGGCTTCATTTATGTTTTCAGTGGTACCGACTACGTAAGCCTGAACCAAGTTCTCCCTATGAGAAACAGAATCTTCAGAAATATAGGATGCTGGAGTTGAGGATGTGATCTGTAGTAAACCTAGTTGAGCCTTTAAAGGCTTCATTAACCAGTGGTCTAGCAGTGATGTCGAATCTTTTAGAGATTTCAGGGATAACAGACAATGACTGCAACATGATTGCCACAGGGTCGCCACCATGGTTCTAAGGAAACAACTCAATTTTCAAAGACAAAACCAATAATCTTCACTGACTGCTGTCTCATAGCATATTAACATGTGGCATGGAGCCTTTAGATACATTACCTTAGTGGGACATTTCCTTCAGGTCAACACATTAGCATGGAATTTACATAACTTCAAACATCAGTTCTGTATGCAAGGTGAATCAAACCAGAAACAGTATGATCTGTTTTTTACTGAATAAAACTAAAACTCTAATAAAGGTAATTAGAAAAATCTGTTTCTCCCTCATCATCAATTTACTACACTTCTCAGACTGTACTAAGACAGTGTTATTGTAGGGACCTCTCATCCTCACTCATGACACTCCCCAGTAAGTGAAGGGAGAGAGCAGAAAAGAGAATGCACCACAGATTCCAGAGATGGTTACCTGGTAGTCCGGTTTTGTAAAATAATCCAGAGAGGAGATATGGTCCAGAAAGATGCTGAATTCTGGAGGGAGATGCTTCAACATGAGCCTGTGGTCATATCTCTCCTTAATGGAGCCTACTTGCTCCTGAAAAGTAAAAAGAAAAGAGCCAAAGTCAATTTTTTTGGCAGCTACTCATTAAAAGCCCTTGCATAACAGTCTCAAGGGAATGGACCAAGCAATGATGTAGTGGGTAATTAAGTATAAAGCAAGATAGTAAAAGAGAAAAAGAAAGTATAAAACCAGAACAAAGTTCACACTAATAGTTTAATGCACAGTAGTTGAACGGGAGCAAAACTAGAGCTTTGCATCAGTGAACTAATAATTCCCAAATGAGTTTATGTTGGGCTGGGGATGGTGACTCACATTTGTAATCTAAGCACTCTGAGAGGCTGAGGCAGGGGAACCACCTGTTTTTGCCCAGCCTGGGCATCTCAGCAACTTAGTGAGACTCTGTCTCACAAAACAAAACAAAACAAAACAAAACAAAACAAAACAAAACAAAACCAAACCCAGGGGTTGCTGGAGATGTAGCTCAGTGTAAAGTAATGGCCTTAGGTTCAATCTCTCATACAACCCCGCCGAAGAAGTTTATCTTGAATCTGATTTACTTTTTTTTTTTTTTTTTTTTTTTTTTTTGCAACAGGGTTTTGCTATATAGCCCAGGTTGGCCTCAAACTCACAGTGAACCTCCTGCCTCAGCCTCTTGAGTGCTTGGGATTACAGATGTGTGCCACCATGGCTGACTTTGTTTACTTTTCTTTATCAACATTTGTTTACAGTTTTCAAATCAAACAATACACTGTAACAATAAAAAATGAAAAACTCACTTGTCTTGCAAAAAGAGAGAACCGGTGAAGTTATGAACACAAGAGGGGCTGGGTACAGTTCAATGGCAGAGCACGAACTTCACATAGTGTGAGGCTGTTAAGCTCCTGGTTAAGGCTCCAGCCTACCCCTACCCCATGACATCAGCACCCCCCAAAACTAGGGAGGACAGCTGAATCATAAGAAATGACGACACTTATAAATCAGTATCTATTCTTCATGTACACAGAAAAGTTGCAACATTAATTAGCTCTCTAGTGTTCGTTCACTCACAGAAAAATATATGCATTTGCATACAATGACAGTGCTTATAGATTTTAAGTCATATATACATCATATTTTCTTTTAATAACTGAATATTTAGCTAGGCATGGTAGTGAACACCTATAATCCCTGCATTCAGGAAAATGAGAAGAAGAGCACCAGGTTTTTGAGGCCAGCCTGGATTACATAGAGAGTTCAGGGTCGGCCTGAACTACAAAGCAAGGTTCTATCTCAAAAAAGAAAAACAAAAGTTTTAATTTATACATAAAAGCAAAATCCATACAATTAATGGAGAATTATATAATGTCTAAAAACAAAATACACTATAGTATTTAATAAATATATTTTTAAGAAAAATAGTAAGGAAAAAATTCTATCTTTCCCATACCAAAATTGACAATTGTTTCCAAAATTACCTTGTCCTTTATTTTCCTCCAAGGTAGCTGACCAACCACAAATTCCACCAACATGTAGAATAGAGACCAAAGGTCATCATGTCTTCCCATTTCCTTCATAAACGAAACAGAATTCAGACACATTACATTCCCAGTTCTTCAATGCATACTGCATTAAGACCTAATCATTTTGTTTCATCTCACTAGCCTTAATAGTTTGAACATATTTCCTCTAAAATTTATCTGGAAAACCAATCTATATATCTGCACAGGTATACAACAATCTATATGGCAGAAAAAATACATATATATATATATATATATATATATATATATATAAAATCAACTTGACTTAAAGAATACCTTAAAACCTAGCAATATCCAAAATAGTACAATAAACAATATATTAATCAACAAATTCATTAAGAAGAAAGGGAAGCTACAATTAGGTTTGGTGGCACATGCCTGTAACCTCAGTTACTCATAGCGCAGCAGTATTTTCCATAAATTTTAACTGCTATCAAGAGGACAAAGCAGTTAAAAAAATTTTTGCTCTGAGAATTTGCTGCCATGGCCTTGTCCTTATTTAGATTTGGGAATTACATCTGTATGGTATGGAAGCCATACCCAGAAATTAGCTTCAAATGCTTCTAGTTGCCGTTTTCTGCAGTGATGACAGAAGCAAACGTGAGATTCTCTTTCAAAAAAATTTTGTTAATACATACACCTAAGACACGCATTCTTTATTTTTTGATAGTTAAAAAAAATTTTTTTCAAGTCCATTTTATTCACGGATTAAAAAAAAGAAAAAAAACTACAACAAAATTTCAAAACACATCAGTCCGGGGGCAACAATGGTACCGATGTTGTACAGTGTCATCCCCAGATCACTCACCCAGAGTACAAGACACCCGCATTCAATTGTCCAAACAATTTCAGTACAAATCTTCCTCTTCAGCGAACTCAGAAAAGTCAGTACTATAACTATCTTAACTATTCATATATATATATATATATATATGTTTTTTCTTTCAGTTTGTCACATCAATAATATAATATTTATACATTTTACTTATTTATTTCACTATAAATTCACAATATTTAACTATTAATTTACAATATTTACACATTTTACTTATTTATTTCATTAATGAGTATGTTCTCAAGTTGCATCCATCTACCTATAAAAAAAAACTCCATTTTATCCTTCTTTATGACTGAGTTACTCCACTGTAGAAAAATACATCTTTTTTTATCCATTCCTCAGTCAGTGGATATTTAGGTTGTTTCTAAGATCTGGCTATTATAAACTGTGCTATAGGTGCACATATATCACTGTGGTATTATGTTTTTAATTCTTTTGGGAAGATCCCCAGAAGGGGTATAGGTGGGTTAAATGGAACCTCCAAACCTAGTTTTTGTAGAAATCTCCACACTGATCTCCATAGTGGTTGCACCAGTCTGTGTCCCATCAACAGTGGAGAAGGGTTCCTTTCTCCCAACAGCCTCGACAACATTTGATACTGGATGATTTCTTGAGAATAGGCATTCTTTCCGGGGTGAGATGGAATCTCGTTGTTTTAATTTGCATCTCCTGAATGACTAATGATTTGAACATTTTTTTAAGTATTTATTTGTTGTTTATATTTTTTCATCTGAGAAGTGTGTATTTATCTCAGATGCCCATTTTTGGATTGGGTCTTTAAATCTGGGAGGACTAAGTTTCTTTAGTTCGTTATAATACACATTCTTTATAAACATAAATATATTTGGCTATTATCTTTTTCAGCAAATCAAATTCTATTTTCAAAGCAATTGCACATATCTGTTACCTAATATACCTCTTACCATGCATTAGTATTAACTCTTTCAACATCAATGCCAGCCCAAAATAGGAACTTTGTAACTATTCAAGAAAGGCTCTGCTCAGTAGCCATTACCACCCCATGTACAGAAAACACTCCTCATTTAACAACGGAGTTATAATCCTGAGCTAGGTCACTGATGGAATTGGTCTCTAAATGAGGAATTCCACATAATACAGAGTGTACATTACAGTATTTAGAGCAATGAAATGGTCAAAGGAATAACCTAACTTGATGACTGGTTTATTTACGTAACTTTTACATACAGTACTGTGATGTATAATAGAACATAAAATTATAGTACTGTACTGTACAGTATAATCAGCAAAAATCAGTACTGTATAAACAAGGTATATTGTGACAAAAAGAAAAAAAAAGAAACACAACTCTTAGTGGCAAGTTGGCAATCAAACAGTTGTTAACCAGGTTGGTTGTTAAATAAGGAACATCAGTAATGTGAAGAAGGCAGTGTGACTGAAACTGTAAGTACACTTAAATAGATATGGTCACATACTTACTCTGTTTCTGTGGGCATTAACTGATGCATAGCGAACCGTCCCTCGAAAGCCTGCCACAGCTCGAGGCTAAAACAAAGCCAAACAAGAATATAAAACAAACAGCAATAGATCAGTCCACAAAGTAAATGGGAAAAATGTATTTATTATTGTCATACTAGAAAACTATTTAATTTCTATTATGAAATTATAGAAAAAGAATATCTTTAAGCCAGAGCCCTAAAATATGTGATAAAAGTTTTGTTAATTTTATTTTTGTCCTTTTTTTTCTATTTATATATTTTTTTAAAAAGTTGCCACTGGGCTGAGGCAGGTGGTGGTTTAGGGTTTGGTGGTGGAGCACTTCCCAGTATGTGCACGGCTCTCCAGCACCCTACCCAAAAGGTAGCATTCAGGACCAATACACGACTGAAGACATTCAGTGCTTTCTTAGTTTATACATTTTATCATAGTATACACATTAACATTCAGGGTTGGATACAAATATATTAAAAAGACTATAAAGAAACACTAAAACACTATAAATAAACCTTTTTATATCTTAGCTATTTTATTCAAACAATTTAAAGGTGGTGGCAACTTATACCTTATATATTATAAATATAACTCATAATATTCACAACTGAAGTGACTGAATGTCCCTGATACTGAGAATAAAGCCGAAGATGAGTAATACATGATTCTAACACTTGGAGAGTGCAACTGTGAATAAAGTCCAAACAAGACTTACCATGGTTTGACACCTTACACAATAGATATACTGTGATTTTACCTGCCACACATTTTCTTTCTACCTCAGGACAGCATGTGCTACTCTTCAGATGCCATCATCTGCATATATTGCTGGCTAGCAAGCCCTTATCAAGGCCTCTGCTCATATGTCACCTCCTCAGAGAAATATTCCTTAATCACCCTAATCTAAAACATTGCAATGCCAGTCCGCTGTTTTATACTCTCCCATAGTAACATCTTTTACTACGCAAACTCTATTTTATTTACATTTTACCTTACCAACTGTTTGCTTATATTCTAAATTTATTTTTCTTTTAAAATTTTTTTATTTTTTATATTCTAAATTTGTCTTTTATTTCACAGGATATAAACTGTGTGAGAGCAAAGTCTCTGTCTTGCTCATTTTATAAACATACAGCCTCTGAGAGGTAAGTATCTTATTGGAAGACTTCCTCAGCAGATGATAAAGCTAGGCATCAATTAAGGTTTTTCAGTTTAAAATTATATGTTGTTTTCATTTTGTTGTTGCGTAGGGATCAAGTCAGTACCTGAAGAGCCAGCAGAGCCACAGTATGAAAACTGACAAACTTAAAAATGATCATAGCCGATTATTTTCATTAGTAGACTTTTGGGCTTTTCTCAGTAATTTCAAATTTCCCCCAATTAACACATGCTACATCTGCATCAGAAAAAGGTTATCATAAATGTTATTTCACTAATCCTAGACTCGTAGTGTAGCTCTATGGTAAAGGATTTGCTTGGTTGAAAATCCTTACTTAGCAGAATCATTTTGGTCATATACTATAACATAAGATTTAACTCAATTTCAATCAAAATACTAATAGCATTCATCACAGAAATATAAAAAAAAAGTTCTAAAATGTGTATGGAACCAGAAAAGCCCCAGAACAGCAACACAATCTTGCGGCATACACATGTAATCCCAGCTGAGAGGCCGAGGCAGAAAGATTGCTGCAAGTTCAAGGTCAGCCTAGGCTACGTAGTGAGTTCAAGGCCAACCTGAACTGCATTTCAAGACCTGTCTCAAAAAAAAAAAAGAAAAGAAAAAAAGCAGGGGCATCACAATACCTAACTCTAAGTTATACCACAAAACCGCAAGTGATAAAAACAGCATGGTACTGGAACAAAAACAGACATGTGGATCAATGGAATACAACAGAGCACGCAGAAACATCCCCAGACACTTTCAGTCACCTGATCTTCAACAAATGAGTCAAAACACACTGAAGGAAAGACAGCCTGTTTAGCAAATGGTGCTGTGAAAACTAGCTATGTGCAAAAGATTGAAGCTGTACCCATGTGTCGCACTATGTACTAAAATAATATCAAAATGGATCAAAGGTCTAAACATCAAAACAGAAACACTTGGAAGATAAAAAAAGCTTCTGCATAGCAAGAGAAACAAGAGAGGGAAGAAACAACCTACAAAGTGGGAGGAGAGCTTTATTAACTAGCTATTTTCTGATAGAGGATTAATATAAAAATACACAAAGAACTTAAAAAATAGCCAGTGTTACTGCATGATGGATCGCCCTTACTCTCTAGTGTGTACTTCTTTTCTTACTTTCATTTGGCCTAAACTCACTCTGTGTGGCCTGTTTCTTTTCCTTCCTTTAAAAAACAAAACAAAACAAAACAAAAACTTTGCTACTATTTGCACCTGTCTTGACCAATCTTTGTTCAGAACAATCACCTCCAGGAAGAGGCTCCAGCACCTCAAAACCTGCTAACATATTTGGCTTAGCCAGGCAGAAGCAGCAGGTAAAGCCCTTTGGGCACATTATTGTTGTTTCTCTCTAAAATGCTATGAAGTTTTTTCTTCTTTCTCAGTCTCTGTCCTAGCTTATGAAACTTTTCTCATGGTGCCAGGAAAAACCTTCCTGATGTGTACCAGCAAGTGGGATGGTCTCTGTGTGTGTGTGTGTGTGTTTTTTTTTTTTCTTTTCTATTGGCCAGTAAGAGGTCTACAGACCTGCCTCAAGTTTATTTTCCTTTTTCTTTTTTTCATTTGTGGTCACTCTAAGGGCATGAGTTAAGTAGCCACTGAGGCTGTTATTATGCCCTTTTGTCCTCATATTTTGAGTTTTCTGTGATATTTTGCTAGTCTTTTGGGAAATTAGCTTGGTCTCTGCCTACCCTAGTTTACTCCTTTGTGAGTTCAAAGTCTCATCTGCACTTCTCCCCTGGATGGCCATTTCTTTTTCATGGTGCTACCTTAGTCATGGTCACCATCATGTCTCATCACAGGACTGGCCACTATCTATCTAGTCTTTTCACATTGGCTGCCTGTTTTTAATCAGCTATGTGGGTTTCACTATATTTGACTTCAAGTAACGTCGTGATCACCAGAAAATCTCACCCTTGTAGATAGGAGCTAAGCCTCTGATTTAGACAACATATGCGCTTCTTTCCTCTTTTCTTTTAAATTGAGATATATCTCTTTGTCTCTTCTAAAATTCCAGTACAACTTAACTCACATGACTTAACAGTATACAAAATAGAGCCATCCTTGTTCTTAAACGTTTTTAGGTTTCAAAAAGGGGGAAGATTCTGACTCTGTTGCCTTAAACAAAGCACCAGTGTTTTACTACTGGGCTAAATATGAGAGATACTGTTTCCCAACTGGTTCTAATATGCTTACACAGAGCCATCAAGTAGTTCAACATGGCTACAGGAGTCCTGGTAGGGAGGAACTTCACCCTGATCTCCTGGGAGTTTAGAAGAGCTATATAGAGCCATCAACAGGCTCAATATCTCTCTTCCTAAGGAGTTAATGGGCTCTGTAGATAAAAAGCCTTCAGCAAGGCTTTCTTCCATGTTTCTATGAAAGATGCCAGTATCATCCTAGCTTTGGACAGAGATATCTGTCTCATGAATACTTGAGTCTCACAAGGGATGCTTTGTGGACTCAAAAGGAGTCTCCTTTTGCATGAAATGGCATCTTAAGAAATGAGACCTAGATGTCACTCTCTATTGGCTCCAAGATGAGCCACGGGAAACTAAATAAACCATGTTCACAGATCCACTGACTTTACCCCAGGCCATATCCTAGATCAAGGGGAAGGTTTGACCCAGCTGATTTGGTTTGACCCCATCTACTATCGCAATATGGTTTGGGTTCAATACAAACCAAAAAGTAGCAAGAAATAGCTACTGGATGGCTAGGAGATTATTTTTCATGTAAACCAAGCCACTGCCTTGGGCTTCCTTTGACTGTAAGGCAGCAATAATCCCCCACCCTATCAGGGATTAACTGTCCCTGCTCCCAGAGAGGGGCCAGGCCAGTCAAAACCCTTGTTTCCTGCGCTGATGACTAAAAGATCCAAAGGAACTGATAATTCCCGTCTGCAGATATTACCATCTCCTATAGGGAAGGGTAACACTGGATACCATGGGTAAGCTAATTCAATAATTCCATTCAGCTTTGACTTCCTTCTCTGGAAAACCCTCCCGTATTTGGGGTTGAGGGGACCCCTAGGTAGAGATTATCTACTTCTATTCTGATATGTTACTTAAAAGGTCAAATGCATAACCATGAGTTTCTTTTTTTTTTTTTTTTTTTGTCTTTTTCTTTTTTATCGGTACCGGGGATCGAACTCAAGACCACCTGCTTGCAAGGCAGGTACTTATGCCGCTGAGCTAAATCCCCAGCCCCTAACCATGAGTTTCTAAATGTCCTAGTGTCCTACTCCCTTGCTAGGAAGAGATTTACTAGCAAAATTGGGAGTTCTCAAATTTTAACAAAGGCTAAAATGGATTTTTCCTGTTTGGACTACCCCAGGTCTTAACCTAATTAGCCAACAGGCAGACCTGCTTTATGGCATAATAAAATACCATGGAATACTCTTTCTCCTCTATATATCAGAAAAGAGTGCTGGACATGGTGATACACACCCATAATCCCAGCACCTGGGAGGCTCAGGCAGGATAGCATGAGTTTGAGGTCAGCCTGGGGTACATATGAACTACATAGCAAGGTCCTGTCTCACAGAGAGAGAGACAGACAGACAGACAGACAGAAGGACAGAGAGATGCACTGTTTTGAGCGAGTTGAACAAAGGGTAGGATAAGTACTCTGCTCAGTGGCCTACTTTTCAAAAATTTAGATGGAGTGGCTGCTGGATGGCAACCTGCCTGAGGGCAATAGCAGATACAGAAATGCTAACAGAAGTCAGAAACTACAAGTTCAGACTCCCATCAGGTCACAGCTATTAACTGAAAGTGATTCTTGAGACCAAAGTTTACTCATAGCTAACAGGAGAATGACTTGCCAGGCATCAAGCCATGATCTTAGAAACCTCTGAGATTATTACAAAAACTTGCACTACTTTTTTTTTTTTTTGTCTTTTTGAGACAGGGTCTTACTATGCAATTCAGGCTGGTCTTCAGCTCACTTTGTGGACCAGAGTGGTCAGCTTTTAATTCTGTCTTTTTGATGCCTACAGGCTCAAAAGTTAGCTACCCCTGTGAAAAAGTGATCTCCTAGACCTATGCAAGGAGGCAGGACATCAGTGACCTGTTCCTCTAAGACTCCGAGGAGGTCTGGTTCAATGATGAAAGCAGCTTGAAGGACATCAAAAGGGTGGTTATGAAGTTGTCAGTTCACTGAGGCCAGCTTCCACCAGAGACCTCTCTGCTCAAAGAGCAGAGCTTATAGCTCTTCTTGGACATTGATATTAGGAAAAGGCAGGAAGCTATATATCTACACAGACTCCAAATATGTCTTCCTGGTGCTACATGGCCAGGATTGCTCCAGCTGAACTGCCTACACTGGGCTACAAATCCTGAGCTCAAATGATTCTTGTCTCTCAGCCTCCCACAGGTACGTCTGGCTTACTGTCTTTCTCTTTTCTTCTTTCTTTTTTTCCTTTTTTTCTTTCAGGCAAGGTTTTGCTATGTAGTTCAGGCTGGTCTTGAACTCACTATGTAACCTAGGCTGGCCTCAACTCAGGGGTGATCTTCCTGGCTCCACCTCCTGTGTGCTGGTATTACAGGTGTGCACCATCGCACCAAGCAAAGCTGCAATTGTCTTTGTTTTGTTTTGTTCTATTTTTCTTATTGAGACAGGATTTCACTATGCAGTTCAGATTGGCCTTGAGCTCACTTTGTAGACCAGACCGACCTCAAACATGAACTCACAATGATCCTCTTCCAGCCTCAGCCTCTCAAGTGTTGGGATTACAGGCATGTGCCATCATGTCTGGCCAAAGTCATAACTTTCAATAGTAAATTTATTATTTGATCTATAATGTAATCATGAAACTCATATGCCAACTTTTCGATAATATCCATTCCTCTTTTCACTGACCCACATTCCCATACCTGTAACATCCATTCTGATACAAAATTAACATATTTTTTAAAGGATCATGTTATAAACAATAGATTAGTTCACAAATATTTAATAGTAATATGAAAAATCTTACTGGTCTGACGTCACCACAGGAATTGGTAAATTGCCGAGCCAAGCCAAAATCAAGCATGTAACATTTTCTACATGTACTAGGAAAGCGACCCATGGCGAAGTTCGACTAGAAAAATAAAAAAGATAAGTACACATATTCTTATAATACTTAGTCTTTGTACTTTAGCACGCTTTCAATTATTCTTCTATTTAAAGTCTATATATGTTCCAGATATTTCATTCAATGATGTTTATTATGTATTAATAATCTAGTTTTTGTTTTCATTAATGCCTAGTAATCTTTGAACAAAAAAGAAATTAGGCAACTATATAAAATTATACAACAATGACTTTAATGAAATTCAGAAATCAGGTACCTTGAAATTCTAGTCTAGGTTGGGGCTAGGGGTTTAGCTCAGCGGCATAAGCACCTGCCTTGCAAGCAGGCGGTCGTGAGTTCGATCCCCGGTACTGATAAAAATGAAAAAGAAAAAAAAAAAAAAAAAGAAATTCTAGTCTAGGGATTGTATTATCTGTAGTTTCAAACCAGAGATATTAGGAATGTGGGGAGAAAAAGTAGCTAAAAAGTTCAAAGAATTTCCTAAAGGACCATACAGCTGAATTGTACTAATCCAAAATTAAACACAATTTAAGGAAACAGTTCAAAATGATTCAATATACTGCATTTTTCTGTTAAAATAAATGAGTATAATGTTAAATGCCCACAAATTTGCAATAAGGGAATCTTTGATGATAAAATTCAAATTGTTACACAGAATTGTTAGCCTTTCTTTGTTTCTGGTTTTGGGTTTTTTGGGGGGTAGGTGGGTGTTGAGACAAGGTTTGCTATACAGTTTAGGCTGGCCTTGAACTCACTATGAAGCCTAGGATGTCCTCCAACTTGCATCAATCCTCCTGCTTCAGCCTCCCAAGATTAACTTTTCTTTTTTTTTTTTTCGTCTTTTTCGTTTTTATCGGTACCGGGGATCGAACTCACGACTGCCTGCTTGCAAGGCAGGCGCTTATGCCGCTGAGCTAAATCCCCAGCCCCGATTAACTTTTCTTTTAAAATGCATTTCTACTTAAGGAGATTTCTAATGAAATAGAGGCTCACTGATTAAAATGACATAGGGTACAAGAAATGCAAATAACATTAAATCTGACTTTTCTATGTCAATTTTAGTTGGCATTTTCATGTATTTAATTCTAGAAATCATATGTTAACAGATGGGTAATACTTTCAATATATCCATATTTATACTCTACCAAAAAGAGGTAAGTTTACAGTAAATACAGTATATAAGAAATGGATCATTTCTTCTCATGAACAACAAATACTAGAAAGGAAAAAGTAAACACAGATATCAGTACAGAAATGACAATTTCTAAGAAAACCATAATAGTAAAACAGCAAAAATAAACCAAAAACCCAGTATTTCTCCACTAACACTCAGAAGGAAAATAAGATCTTTAAATATAATTTCTTACAAATACAGTTTGACTTAAGAAATCAAGAATACAAAATGAACAACTAAAAGCAATTCTTTTCAAGGGAGTTACTGGGAATGGAACTCAGGGCCTCACACTTGCCAGGAGGGCGATGTGCCACTGAGCTACATCCCCAGCCCTTAAAAGCAATTTCTAAAATTTTTTGTTTGGGTTTTTTTTTTGGCTGGCTTGCTTTCTTTCTTTCTTTCTTTCTTTCTTTCTTTCTTTCTTTATTTTGAGACAGGGTCTCCTTGAACTCACTATGTAGCCCATGCTGGCCTCAAGCTCAAGGTGATCCTGCTGCTTCTACTTCTTGAGTGTTGGGAGGAAAACTAAGAGATACATTGTATTTTTGCGTGTGGTCCTCTACAGAAATAAAAATATTCATGTATAACCACAGCTAATACAGAAAACTAGTAACTGATTGTGTCTCATAATAACAAAGTACCCACCAAAACCATTCTGTATTTGGGGAAGAATAGGGCCCTACCGGTTTGATGTCTCGGTGCAGGAAACCCACAGAATGGATGCTTTCGATGGACTCCAGAATCTGCCTCCCTAGCCGCAGAGTAGTGCTAACGGTGAATGTGCCCCGGGCCTGGCTACGGCGCAGATCTGCCAGATTCCGACCCTGTGGCAACCAAACAAGCACTGTCAAATGTGGTACTGAAACTGTCACAAACCTGGGCAATTACTCATTTAACAGTAAAAAATGCTATGACTCAAAACAAAACCAACCAACCAAGAACAAAAATACTATGACTAAAACAGCAAGGATTTTACCCAATTTGTGATTTGCTCAACAGAAGACAGTTTCTTAATAACACACATTTCAGACAAATTTGAGAATAACTACTTTCATCATATAAATTTCTAATTCATCATATTTCTGGTATCAGAACACAATATGACATGATTATTTTAAGAGCAATATAAATATATACAGATATACAGATACAGATAATTGCAGAGAACTAATTACTGCCTAACATATATTCCCATATGAGCTATTTAACTTTCCTGCATCTGTTTCCTCATAAAATGAGATTAATAATACTCACCCTCTCAAAGAGTTTTGTTAGGATTAAACAAGATCTACATAAAGGTTTTAAAATATTCTCTGGTACACATTAGATAATCAACAATAGCTAAGTACTGTACTGTTATTACCAAATACGATATGACAAACATTTAGTTATTTCTTGTTATTGTTTTTGAGACAGGGTCTTGCTATATAGTCCAAGCTTACTATGGAGCCCAGGCTGGCCTCAAACTCCTGGCAATCCTACTGCCTCAGTCTCCTGGGTGCTGAGACCACAGGCACCATGCCCCTGGCATTCAGTTACTTGTAAGCATAGAGAAAAGCAACAGTTGCAGTCTTGCCTATAGCAGTTGTATGACAGTCATGGTTTTGTATAACTGTCACAGCATCCTATACCTGTTCTGTTTTATCTGTGAGGCAACTGATACTTAAGAAGGTCAACGATGCTAACCTGCTATGTATGGGTAAAGATACTTTTCACATCTAAGATGATTATCTGGCTCGTAAGTGCTCTTTCTTTACAGTGCTTTTTCATAGTGCTGCTCCACTTAGAAGATTCCTTTTTTGCTTAGGCAATGAACTACAACCTGAAAAGTGTTGGCTATCAAGGAGTAGTGAATGGTTTCACCAACACAGTGGATTTAAATATCTCATTCCCTGTACTCACTACTTATCTTGCAGTGAATGTTTGGTGTTAACGTGCCACTAATACCATTACTTCACCTAAAGACAACTGTTTAATTTTTGCAAAGAAATAAATTTTGAGCTTACTTAAGGAGCATTCAAAATAAATTATTATTTGTATAAGAGCTTAAAAACTGTAGTGAGATCAAGTAAGACTTTTATACCTTTATGTTTATTTAGTTTCCCCACAGCATATATTAATTGATATTTACGATCATCATATCATCAATGGTCTTCTGGGGTTATTGGTGACTGAATCCAGGGCCTTCATATTGAGTTACAACCCCAGCCATTTACTTCATTCATTCATTCATTCAATTTTTGAGACAAAACTTTGCTAAGCTGCTGGGGCTGGGCACAACTTGTAACCCTCCTGCCTCAGCCTCCCAGAGTGCTGGGACTACAGATATGTGCCACCATACTTAGTTACTATTTTTTTTTAATGTTAGGGAAATTTGTCTCTTTATTCCTATCAAATGCAAAAACAACAATATAGAAAAACAAGCTTTATAGCCTCAGGAGAAAATACAACCATGTTTATCAGCATACTGACAGTTTTTTCTTCAAAAATCAATTTTTTTTGTTAATTAGAGGAGCTGAATCCAGGGCTATATTCCTAGCCTCTTTTGGCATTTATTTTGACACAGACTCACACACTAAGTTGCCCAGCATGGGCAAAAAAATTGCAGTCCTCTTGTCTCCGTCTCCCACAGTGCTGAGAAAAGAGGCATGCATCATCAGATCAGCCTGCTATGCAATTCTGCCAAAATAAGCCAGAATCAAACCTGAAGAAATTAGCCCGAGATGGGAAATTCTGAACATTAAAATGAAAGGCTGCAATGATTGAAAGTCATTAATATGTTATTCATATAATACAGTCCACAAAAAATGTATACATCAGGAAAAGAAAAACTTGCTTAAGTATTTTTTGTACAAATATTTTAATATTAAATTATTGAGACATCATGAGATTAGTACCTTTACATAAGATTAGTTACCTTTGGCCTCTGTGATTACAAGAGGTGCTCAGGATGGTTGCTATTAGCTTTCAGACATTTATTAGTATAGCAAACTGCTAAAGTGTGTATACATTTTTTTTTTTTTGCAGACCCTCTCTGGGGGCAGAGGATGACAATGGGGAAGGGGAAGAGAGCAAGCATGAGAAAGAAAGAGAAAGAGAAAGAGGAGAAAAAAGAGAAAAAGAAAGAAAGAAAGAGAAAGAGAAAGAGCTCATTAGTCTCCTGTAGGAAAATACTATTAGGGAAGCAATTCAAATTTCTAAAAAGTGATAAAGAAATAAGTACCACATCTGCCTTTCTTATATGAAATGTACTTCAGGATAACTTAGTTGTGGAGTGCTTTACAAAGATGAATTTTAACTACTAAATACATTCGCATTGAAATAACTTACTCAGCAATTACTAACATACTGATAAAAAATTAGTAGAATTTTAAAATATATGGACCAGGCTGAAGTCCCCTGAATTCAGTTTAGTATCAAAATACTTTGGCCTGTGATGCAATAGGAAATATACAATCTGCATCTGAAGTGTCTTTGCCAAATAAAAGGAAACTGGAATCTTTTACATTTTTTATGAATACATGTTTATAGAACATAATGATTACCGTGTGGAGTTGGTAATTTACTTGTTGGTAATAAAACTTCTTAAATCTTTTTTATCCACTTACCAAACTAGAATCTTAACTATTTGCTAGTTTACAGGAAATATAAGGGACAGGAGAACTTTTTCCTTTCCTTCTTTTTATTCCCCCTTTTGAGGTACGGAAAATTGAAGCCAGTGCCTTTGCACTGAGCTACATCCCTAGCCCTTTTAAAAATTTTTTGTAAAAAGTTCCAGGGGCTGGGGATTTAGCTCAGCGGCATAAGCGCCTGCCTTGCAAGCAGGCAGTTGTGAGTTTGATCCCTGGTACCGATAAAAACGAAAAAGACCAAAAAAACTTAAAAAAAAAAAAAAGTTCCAGACAGTGACTACCAAAGTTCCTAAATTGTCCATACTGGGCTTAAACTTGTGTGATTCTCTTGAATCAGTTTCCAAGAATGCTGGGTTTCCTAAATTGTGCACCACTGTGCTCAGTTTAGAAAAATGTATTTCCATGTACACTGCCACGTGGAAATAATCAGCAAAATCTGGGATACGTGGATTACTACAGTCAGATGACTCTACTTCTATCATGTCAATAAAAACAGATAGATAAGTGCAAGAAAATAAAAGAAGGGAAAACAACAGACTAAAATAAACTTAAACCACTGTGATGGCACATGACTATAGCACTCAGCACTCAGGAGGCTGAGACAGGAGGATTGCTGCAAGTTCAAGGCCAGCCTGAACTACATAGTGAGTTCAAGGCCAGTATAGACTATATAGTGATATCCTCACTTTTCCCAATACTAAGAGCCTTTCCACTTACAAAAAGTGATATTTAGGTGAGTATAAGAATTTAAATGAACCTGAGGATGTGGCTTAGTGATACAGTGTTTTTCCTAGCATATATGACACCTTGTGTTCAATCCCTAGCACCACCACTACCACCACAAAAATAAAAAAGCTTTGAAAAAAGAAAATAAAGAATTCAAGGGAGTATGTCCTAAGACTGAAAAAGACATTGCAGATTAAGGAAAACTGCTCTAAATAATCTCTCAGTAGTAACCTCAAAACAAAACAGTTTTCTCTTTTACAGCAAGAGTGTTGGCCTCAGACTTCTTTCAAGCTTTAAATCTGATCAAGTTAGTTTCAGGAAAACTAAAAATCTCCTTCAGCTTCTTCAGGCTCTCCATTTGCAAAATGGGGATAAAACCTGTCCTCTCCCCTCATGAGGAAGAATCAACAGAATATAAAATAACACAAAACAATTCTGCAACTAGGGATATAGCTCAGAAGCATAAATGCCTCCCTGGCAAGTTCAAGGTTCTGAGTTCAATTCCCAATGCCCCTTCCCAAAAAAGCAGGGTCCATATTAATAAACAAGGGTAGCTCTTCAAGAAATAAAACTGCTGGCTCAAGAGATAGTAAGTCACATAATTCAAAAGATTTTCAGGTTCAAGTTTACAGGGTTGTTAATAATCTTTAGGCCTACACCAAATGCTGAAAGGGAACAGAGGGAAAAAAGAAAAGCCTTCTGATAAGAATCATTGTCTTTGAAATCAAAGTTAGGTAAAAGAAAATAGAGAAATAAAATGCCCAAAATAAAGTCTACAAAAGATGGACACCTGGAAATTTTCCATTAGGCAGCAAAGTACACCACAGCTTTCAAAGTTGAGGGTTACTAATAATGTGCGTGCACACAAGTGTGTGTTCAGGAACAGAAGAGTGTCAGGAAAAATAGAACACTTTCTTCTTCTCTATTAGAAGTAGCTGATACTTCTATACACCCTTGCTGAATTTCCTCTCAACCCAATTTCACCTCCATCTAAAGGAGAAGGAACAGGGCTACGTTAATGGTGGAAAGAGAGGGGGAGCTAGCAGTGTAGCTAAGTAGTAATAAGAAGATTAGGGCATGGCAAAGCTGGCTGGGCAAGTAGGCGTGGCTTGCTAGTTACAAGATCCCCATACATGTGCAGAACAGTTTCCAAAACCCTACACATGGATTTCTCAGGAGAACTCAAGCAGATTTTCAATAGGGTGGCCTAGATCTGACTTCAACCTGAGACGTGGGATTCAAACACCACTTCTCAGGACTTTTATGTGTAAGTTCTCATGGGTTTCCTTGAGATTTGGATAATATTAATGTAATGAAGAGTTTGCTATACTAACAGCTCACTCTGTGTTTCCCAGACACAGTGTGTACTTTTATATCTGCTCTTACCCTATTTTTACTTTGCCCAAACTCACTTTGCAGAACCATTTCTTCTCCACTCTTCACTTTTACTTTCTCAAATAAAGCTGACCACTGTTTTGGTTTTTTTTTTTTGGCCGGTTTTGTTCAATTCTTTGTTTGAGATGATAACAACCTAGAATCTAACTCCAGGGGGAGAAGTGAGCAACCTAGAGCCCAGTAACATTTAGTTGGTGAGCCACTTGTAGAAGCAAGTTACTCAGTAACAACAGAGCTCTTGCCTAGCATGTGCAGGGAGAAGACTGGTTTTCACCACTGCAGACACACAGAGGGACAAACAGACAAAAGCAAGGAGAGAAAAAGAGAGAGAGAGAAAGAGAGACAGACAGACAGAGAGGAGGGGAAGGCTCATGCTTAGTCCGGGCAACTTAGTGATTTAGCAAAACCCTATCACAATATAAAATTTTAAAAAGAGCTAGTAAAGTAGCTCATTGTGAAGGCCTTGGATTCAATATCAAGCACTACATTAAAAAATGCAAAGACCCACAACAGTAAAAGAGAGAAAGAGGAATAACATTTATCTTGTATCTCAACTAATGCTTAAATTTCTAAGTAATCACGGCTGTCACTTGGAAACATAAATAGGAAACTGAAATGTCTAAGGAAGCAAATACAGAGGGAAAGGACATGGACAGGGCAAGACTTTAGGGCCCACAATCCATGCTGGGGTTAAAACTTTGCAATGATGACAATCAGTGAATATACAGGTCAACCAAAATAGCTGACAAGGACAACCATTTCATTTTTAGGATACATATCATGTGTACTTAAATAAGTTCCATCTACACAATGTAAAATAGTGACATGGTATCAAGATTGTTTTCATTTTTATTCATATCCACTATAACTGGGTATGCTGATCAAAATAGAAAGATTTTGAGATACATTTTCTAGGTAACTTACCTGCAACTGCATGACCACATAGTTGAATCGATCATTCCTCCCACAGCCAATAAATCTACAAACATGGTCTTTCCCTGAGTAAAAGAGAAAAAGAAAGAAAACAATGGAAGAGAATATACTATAATTTTCTTCTAAAAAATTAACTTCTGTATAGTTATTTTATGATTTAATATAAAATAAATAAAATATGTGTTGAGACCTTAAAGACAGGAAATTTAGATCATTCAAAAATTTTATCCTCCCACTCCCCAGGTCCTGTACTGCTCCTTGTGTAGTCAAAATCTGTTGAATTAATAAAAGATGAATGAGGGGCCAGAGATACAACACAGCAGCACAGCATCTGCCTGGCAAGTGCAAGATCATGAGTTCCACTCCCCGTACCAAAAAAAAAAAAAAAAAAAAAGATTGAAAGAACAAATAAAGGGTAAATTACTTTGAAAGTAAAAGATTCAGAGGTCATTTCATATCAACTCATTCAGATATAATCCATATGAAAGCATGGATGAGCAAGAAATAAGAACTGTGTTAGAAATCTAAATCTGCATTTTAATTTGTTGCTGTTTAAGAGAACATCTTGAAAGAAAAGAAAAGAAAAGAAAAAAAAAGGCCTCACTCTGCAGTCCAGGTTAGCCTTGACTCCAATATGTAGCTCGGGCTGGCCTCAAACTCACAATCCTCCTGCCAGTTTCCTGAGTTCTTGGATTACAGATACGCACTATTACTGAATTTTAAATTCTGCAACTCCTTAGTACATGATTTCAACACATCACATATCTTTTTGGTCCTCATTTATTCAGATAAGCTCAGCGGTTTTTAACCCAAGTTACAAGTATGAGATTCAAAGATGTGCTGGCTGTGAAATAAACATCATGCTGGAGCTGGAGCTCAAGTGGGTTCAATCTCCAGTATCCAAAAAATAAAACACAATTTTAAAAAATCAACCAGGCATGATGGCACACAACTATAGGTCCAGCACTCTCAAGAGTCTCAGATAGGGGTACAGGATATTCAACCTAACCAGGCAACTTAAAGACTTAATGAAACTTGGCACTGTGGCACACAGTTGTAATTTTAGAACTCAGGAGACTTTGGCAGGAGAACAACACGCAGCCTGAACTACACAGAGAGACCTTGTCTCAAAAAACCAAAACCAAAACCAAAACATCAAAGGAATTTAACACTATATACACAAGTCAGTGTTGCCATCAACATGAGTGCTTACCAAAACCATTTTTCCTTTTTATTGATACCGGGGATTGAACTCACGACTGCCTGCTTGCAAGGCAGGCGCTTATGCCGCTGAGCTGAACCTCCAGCCCGACATGGATAGATATTTGAAAGTATTGCTGAGTAACAAGAATCACCAAAAATACTTTTAGATAAAGAATTACATACTACAATAATATATTTAGAATATCACTGTGGTGGCAATGAAAATGACATATTCAACAAAGGTCAATCTAGAGACAGAACGGTCAAGCTAAGGACAGGAAGGTCACAATATCCTGCAAGGACAAGAATAGTGCAAGAGGTGATTGAAAAATATGTTCAATGTTTTAGGATTTTTTTTTTGAGACAAGGTCTTACTGTGTAGTTCAGAAAGACATTGAACTCACTAAGAAGACCACACTGGCCTTAAATTCACAGCAATCCTCATGCCTCAGCCTTCTGAGTGCTAAGATTACAGGCCTATAAAACTGTACCTGGATCTGAATGTTTAAATTTTATTTACTTACTATTGGTACTGGGGACCAAACCCACAACCTTGTGCTTGCCAAGCAGGCGCTTATACCACTGAGCTGAATCCCTGGCCCTAATGTTTACATTTAAAAATTATTACAGTAAAGGACACATTGGTATTAATTCCCCCTCAAGATACACCTCATCCACCCCCCATCAAATGCACATATCCCATTGTTCTTCCCCTCTCTGTAGCAGTTCTGGAAGTCTCAAGTGTCTATGCGAGGTATCATAAAAAAATACAAATGCTGCTGCTGAGTGCCACTGAGTGACATTCAACAGCAAAGCAGGTTTGTAAAACCATTACAATGGTATTTTTATCCACTTATTCACCAGATCTGGTCCATGCAACTTCTGGGTCTTTCCCAAAGTCAAAATGACCATGAAAGACAAACTTCTTGAGTCAATTCAGGACATTAAATAGCCATAAAAGCACAACTAAAGACACTCACCAAAGAGAATTTCCAGAAATACTTCAGAAAGTATCAAGAATGATGGATTAAGTGTGGTCAAAGCAAGAAAGAGAAAGTATTTTGAGGGGGATTAATAGCAATGTATCTTTAACTGTAGTAATTTTTTATTAAGACATACACTATATTTTTCCATCATAGCATGAATTATAGAAAAAAGAAACAGATAAAACAAGGTGAGTCTGAGAAATACAACAGATGCAGGTTTGTACAAAAAATTGATACAATTAAATGAAATTTTGTACCAAAATAAGACAATGTAAAGGTTGCATAGGTTTCAAAGGATATTAGACTGCTGAGTTCAAAGGCAGATGAATTGAGTAATTATAATTTTAGGCATGGTACTGACACAAAAAGACCAAACTCCAGATATACATCAGGGAAACACTACCATGGAGGACAAAACCACAAACACAAACGGATACAAAATAAGAAAAAAGTTTAGTATGTAATTCTGGAAAATTCATGAGTAAAACTAAAAGCACCCTCACGGAAACAGAGGAACAACTGGAGAGAAAGGAGGAAACTCTAAGAGAACAGTTCATGAAGCGGGAAGTGATGGGAAGTACCTACTCAAAAATATTAGGATTAGGAATCCACAAGTGCATGGAAGGGGCAGAAACTAGTTTAAAATGGGGTAAAGAGGAAACGGGGCTGGGTGTGGTGGCACACGCCTGTCTTCTCTTGGCACGCTTGAGTGACTGAGGCAGGACTATCATCATGGGTTCATGACCAGCTTGGACCACTATGTAGCAAGATTTTGTTTCAAAAACAAAACAAAACCAGTAAATGGAATATGAGACAAGGAAGGTAGATAACTTTTGAATACATTTGCATGTAAAACAAGGACTAGTGGCAGGGCTGCAGCTATCAGATCAATATTTGGTAGACTGATGAAAAGCATAAAGCAAATTTCAAAAGCTGTCCAGTGACTGACTTAAAATATAAATGCAATTAATGAATGAATATTTTAAGTCAAGCATGACAGTGCACACCTGTAATCTCAGCATCTGGGAGGCTGAGGCAGGACTGCTGTAAGTTCAAGACCAGCTTGAGGTACACAACAAAACCCTGTCTCAAAAAAGTTTTTTAAAAACACTATATTTAATTAGTTCCCTTATTAACCATTGTTCAAGATTCCATCTTCAGGATGAAGATACAGCTCACTGGTAGAGCACTTGCCTAGCACATGCAAGGCTCTGGGCTGAATCCCAAGCAACTGCAAAAAAAAAGACTTCATTCTCCTATCATGTAACATTTAAATGCAATACCTTTGTTACATAGCTCTTTCAACCATTTAAAGACAAAAGACCATTTTAGATTTAATTCCTCTTGGAATCTTTCTTTTAAAATATCTTTATAAATTATACACAAACTACTCTACTCTTAAAGAGAAAAAATTAATGAATCACAGATCTTTTACTGAGCAAACAAAGCTAAGTAAACTTTCTAGGATTTATCAATGTATTCTCACTGTTTTAGGTAAAAAACAAATGAGTTCTTGTCTCACATTTTAAGGAATAGTATAGTGCTGCTCTTATACATGCATATACAATCAATGGAACTAATACAGTTAGTTCAATAAACACATACAAATTTCTCGAAGCACAGAAAAATTACAATTTAATTGGGACAGTCACCCTTTACTATCACTTAACTGCTAAAATAACTTTATAACTGTCATGGTTTATGTCAGTGGCCCCAAGCCTCATGTAATTATGGATGCAACCAAATCTAGTGTTTGTGATTGGTTCATTGTATAGTGCTCGGATTGGTGGTGTGAGTACTACACTTGCCTAGAGGTGGAGCCAGGACACGATGTAATGATGGGAAGAAGGTGTCTCTTTCTCTTTTTTGCTTTTGCCTTTACTTTTGCCTTTTGCAGTGGCCATGAAAGCCAGGCTCCGCCACGCCACACCAGCCAGCTGAGAATGGACTGAAACCTCCAAGAACTGTAAGAAATAAACCTTTCCTTCCCTAACTTTGGGCATCAGGTATTTTGTCTCAACAACAAGTAAAAAGTAACTAAGACAATAACAATGAGTATACAATGAAATAGTAGTCTATGAGAACAGGGACTATCTCTTGTTTGGGTGCCTAACAATACCTGACAGCTAGTGAAATAATCAATATTTGAATGAATAAATCAACAAGTAATAACAGCTGATGGGAGGAAGGGAGGGAGGGGATGAAGAAGGAATTAGGATGTGTTGTGTACATGTACCAATTTCCCATGAGGAATGTAAACACTATGTAAACACAAACATGTTCTAATAAAAAATAAAATTGAAGAAAAAAAAAAAACTTAAAAAGCCAGGGATTTAGCTCAGTGGAATAAGTGTCTGCCTGGCAAGCATGAGGTCATGAGTTTGATAAAATGAGTTTAATAAAATATGAATAATATGCATACATATATGCAAGTATTTAAAACTAGCTTCTCTATTATATACTTTACATGCATTTAATCCTTCCAATAATGCTAAGTATTAATATATTCTTTATTTTTCAGATACAGAAATGCAAGCTTAATGAAGTAAATTGTTTTACCCAAACGATAAAACTAGAAATGATGGAGCAGTTTGGCACTGGGCACTGGAGCAGATGGGCCTGGCAGTGCACTCCTGTAATACTGGTACTTAGGACACAGAGACAGGAAAATTGCCAAGTCTAAGGCTAGCCTACACTATACATATAGCAAGGTCAATGTCAAGTTGGACTACATAAGACCATGCTTTAAAAAAAAAAGACAATGATGAGCAATTTGCTCTAGAGCCTTTGTTCTTAATCACTGTGTCAAAGATAACTGAAACAGTTTAAACTCAAGTAACATCAATAAATATTAAAAGCAGAGTGATAATACAGAC